CATGATGTCTTTTTCAGGTATCCAGGATGTGCAGGGAGAAGCCAGAGCAGGAGGAGGAAGCCGTGTGTGTGTGTGTGTGTGTGTGTGTGTGTGTGCGCGCGCGCGCGTGCGTCCTGTGAACACTGAAATGGGGCAGGGCAGAGCCTCCTGTCATCCCCCTGCCCTGTCCTCTCCGTTCATTCTAGCCACCAGCTGCCGTCAGTCACCTCTGACTCATGGCAACCCACCCGTATGTGTCAGTGCAGAACTGTGCTCCCTCTGTGCTGGCTTTTTCAGAATGAGATCGCCAGCCTTGCTTCTGAGGTACCCCTGGGTGAATTCAGCTGCCATCCAAGTGTATGAAGTGTTTGTGTGCCCCAAGGCGTCCCCACGCAGTCTTCATACCCTAATGTGCTGTTCAGCTTGAGTTCCTGGGAGTGCAAACATTTACTCAGTGAAGGTTTGAGACTATACTGCGTGGCAGGCACTGTGCTCAGCCTGGCACTTAGGGGTGAAAAATATACACAGTGCAAATGACAGTCTGCTTGGGGACATAAGAGGGACTTCTATATTGTTGCGTTTTACGCCTCGGGCTGCTATCTGTAACATCAGTGGTTCAAACTCAACAACTGCTCCAAGGGGGAGAGAGGAGGCTGCCTGCCCCTGCCAACATTCACAGGCTTCAAACTCTTTTGGAGGGGGCGGCACTGTGAGTTGGAATGGGAGGCTGGGGCAGTAGAAGCACAGATAGTCAATGCATATATTCCAGATGATGAGATGAATCAAATGTACCAGGTCAGTGTGGTCTGGCTATTTTAGATGGAATGGACTGAGGTAGAGACCAGCTTGGACCCTAATAACTTGTCTCCTTGTTCTGCTCTGTGACTGCCTTCTTTGGATCCAGGGCAGCTAGGTAACAAGGGCCACATGCCTGAGTTCTGGTCAATTCTCCGGACCCCTAGAATATCTCCAATCAGCCTGTGGGGTGCAGAGGAGAGTGTAGAAGTCTCTGAAGTTTCCATTGAACACAAGTGCTAGATGAAAGGAGCCTGAATGACCAGGTGGAGCAGAGCCCCCTGTCCAGCCCCACCCAATCCATAAACCTGTGCCAGACTGCGGCACAAGCAAGAATCTATGATGCTCTACCATTGAGGTTTGGGACCGGTTGGTTACGACAGCTGCATTACGTATTCTAATACAGAGAAAGGAGCCATGTTTTTGTAGCCAACTTTCTTCCGTGTGGTGGTTGGTTGGTTTGGTAAGTGGCAGGACAGGGGTTTGCATTTGGTGTGGGGGCTCTGAACCCCTGTTGCATTGGGGTGGCTCGCTGTCAGCCTGCGAAGGGCTCATGGCTCCATAGTGCTTCAGGCTGAAGTAGAGGAACACGTGCAGTGAGCTGGTGGCCCAAGCCCATGGAACCTGTTTCAGGGGCAGGTGGAAGCATTTGGGACCCAGTGTCCAACTTGACCTGCTTTTGACGACATGAATCCATTTTTCTCAACTGCAACTTCATCTGCAAATGTGGGCTGCCCCTGGTCCCCAGGAGAAGGGCATAGAATAGTGGTTGCCTAGTGGAACAGCTCAGAACCCACCAGGGTCTTGGTTACAGGCAGGGCTTGTCATGATCAGAGCCACCTTGGGCATGGTGCTTACCTTCTCAGTTAGAAAACTGGAACAATGCTTCTACCTTCTCAGAGAACTGAGCTTGAGGATGAACTAAGAGGAGGCTGAGCCAGCACATTGAGAACTATAGACACTGCTGTTGAAATAGAAGGTGGGGTTTAAAATGGTGTGGTTGATGTCACTTTCATATGAGTCAGGAGTATTAATAACCACAGCAGCCACCTCGCCAGGCATTGTGGCAAGTGCTTTACGAAGTGGGACTCCCACTCATGTCACCTTTAATCACCTGCAGAAATAAAGTGAATGATACTCGTCCCAAGGTATGAATGAGGAAATGTAAGTTGTCGGGCTCAGGCTAATAAGTTAAAGAATGGGTTTCCCATCCCCAGAAAACTAGTCTGCAAGGGTTTGAGCCAGAGAGATGTGCTTGTCTCAGGCGACAGTGACATACACAGCTATGTCCTCAAGACCTCCTTTTAAAACGTGTTTTTTATTTAACCGTTTTATTGACATAATTCACATACCATAAAATTCAGTGATTAAAATCCATAAACATTTTTGAGTTGTGAAATCACCACCATCCATTTTAGATAATTTTTCTTCATTCTTGTACCCATTTTTAGCTCCTCATTTCTCCCCTACCTCCCCTTCCAGAGCCCTAAGAAACACGGACTCTTAATTAATCTCTCTCTAGATTGACCTGCCCTGGATTTCATATAAAGAAAATCATATTAAAAACAATGTCAACAACAATAAAACGGAAAAACCTCAATCCCCAAACAAGCAGGAAATAAGAAGTAGAAAAAGTTATGAATGAATTGAAAAGGAAAACAAAGAGCCAGGTGTTTTAACCTATTTTAACCTGACTCTGTAGCAATCCACTTTCTTTCGAGTGCACTCTGTCCGAGGGCTGGACTGTTCGCATCTCTAGTCGATGGTGCCAGGGAGTTCAATGGAGGCTGAATCTTGAGTGGGGACTCTGGGAATGCATTTTGGGCTTTCAATGAAGGGCTCCTTCAATTTTTCTACCTTTGGTGTGTTGTCTCAATGCCTCATGGTTGCAAAATAGCTACCATGCCTCCAGCCATCACACCACATTCCCTGCAGGCAAAGAGGAAGCGCGCCATGTGAGGCTGCCCCTTTATCTTTGGAAAGCCGCAGTCAACTCACTTCTGCTCGTGGTGCAGGACTTGAAGGTAGCCGGGAGAGGAAGCACATGGGTGCTGGGTGAGCTGCCCCTTATCAGCAGAGGGAGAGAACCTGTCTGTGTGCACTAAAGCCCAGTGTCCAACAGCCTTCCCAGCTTGCTGGCCTGTGGCATGTCGTGACTTCAGAGAAAAAGTGACTTACCATAAGCCAATGCAAGCTGCTTTTGGGGGGCACACAAGGTGTCGACATAGCAGTGATCCTTGTGCTAGAGACAGCTGCACGTGCACATGGGGCCCTCCAAAAGCAGAAGTTGGGGTGGTCGGGAGGTGGGTGAAGGAGACTGAGGAATGAGAAGCAGGAGCGGGAGAGGAGATGGGCAAGGGGCATTTTCTTTCCTTATTTAGCTCTGGGCAACTGTCATCAGAACTCTCTCTCATTTTATTCCGAATGTAACATTTAACCTTTCTGTTCAAGTATCAAATCTGGCTGCCTGATGTATAATTACGAACTATTCTTCGCCTTCCCCCATCCCCCACCCCACCAGCGTTTAAAACTCCCTCACTGGGTACCATCTCTCTCCTCCGACTCTCCAATTAAATTAAAAATAGCAGCTCCGCGGGGCTGTGCAGGGCCATCAGCCTAACGTGGAGCTGCTGGCACGCCAGGCCTGGTGGGGTAGGGACTGGTGCCCAGAAGATGCCTGCCTGGCAGCTGCTCTGAGCTGGGGGAGTCTTAGCCTTCACCAGGGGGTTGGGGTTGCCTGCCAGGGGCAGCCAGGTGCAGGGGGTGGGGGCTGGATGGGACTGGCAGAGGGGGACAAAGGAAAGACCCCCAGGAGGGCCCTTCCCAGTTGAGAGGGTGCAGCCGCTGCTGGCTTCTTTCTGTTGGCCTGGCTTCGGTTTGGCACCTTTGTGCCTGGGTTGAGTGGGGTCTGCAGGCCTGTGTTCCCTGAGATAACCCCAGAAACCGCCTCAAGTTGTGATGGTGCTGAGACACTGAGCAGGCGCTAGTCGCAGCCCCACGGTCTCTCCCGTTCTCTCTCTCCGCAGAGAAGCAAGGGTGCGATGGGCTGGGACTAGAATTTCCCATCTGCTGCTTTGGGAGACGTGACCTAATTTCTCCATGCCTCGGTTTTCACGCCTATAAAATGGGCTTCATTCATCCTCCGTCAGATTGCTTTCTATACGGTTCTTAGCAGGAGCCAGACTCAGGTCTGGCTAATAGCTCAGTGCACACCTGCTTGGCTGGGCCAAGCCCGTAGACCAGTGGTTCTCAATCTTCTGAATACCTCGACCCTTTAATACAGTTCCTCGTGTTGTAGTGACCCCCTAACCATAAAATTATTTTTGTTACTACTTCATCACTGTCATTTTACTACTGTTATAAATCGGGTGACCCCTGTGAAAGGGCGGTTCGACCTCCAAAGGGGTTGTGACCTACAGGTTGAGAACCGCTTCATAGACAAATGCGGCTCTACTGCCTATTCACTTGCTCCCTTACAGATAGACTTGGCTCACAAGACCAAGTACATAGAATGCTGGCTGTCCGAGGGATGGAGGTAGAATCACATCCATACTCAGAGACAGCACAGAGGGGGAGTGGCAGACCCCGGGGAAAGGTAGGGAGGTGAAGTGGGAGGAGGAGTGAGGCTTGAGATGACTCTCGTCGAAGGAGTGGGCGTCTACACAAGCTGTTCCTTTCCTTTGGAGTGCTTAGGCCCACAGACACCCCGAAAGCAACTTTTGACAGTCTGGCATGGGGCAGGGTAAGAGATGGGTCACTTAGAACCAGGTTGTAAGGGCCGGAGGCTGGGGGAGAGAGATTAGGGCAGGGCCAACTCTTAAAGGACATCAGGGGACACACTAAGAATAGAGGACTTCATCCTGAGAGTCCTGGGGAGGCTTGTCAGAATTCACAGGTGGGCTAGGACATCACTTAGAGAATCCGTGCTCTGGGTGCAGCTGAGAATGACTCAGATAAGGACC